CGTGACTTGTATGAGATACATCTTTCCTTAAGAGTGCTTAGCGTTCATGTATGATTGCAATATGATGTTGTATAATATAAAATTATTAATACGCTTACACGTTTTTGAGTTCTAGATTACCCTTCTATTTATATGTAGTTTGGACTACGATGAATATACGTTGTATGGGAGTAGATCAAAGTTAGGCTGAAGAAGTTATTGCTTAAAGGTTGACGATACGTATTGTTGATGTCAGTGCTACTAATTGTAGCTTGTATAGTGGTACTTGATAACACTTGGACATATGATTATTTTGGGATTATTGTATATATGTATTTTACTTTTATATTCATGTTCTATATATATGAATGACACATTCCCTCCTTTAATCTTGTATATCCTAGTAATATAGTTTTTGCTACTTTTAGTGATTTCACATAGTGTAGCGATCATGATGGATTGTTACAAATAAATATTATATTAAATATATAAATTATATTTAAAGTTTGTATAAATAGATATTTTTAACATTACATTATATTTTAGCTAAATTTATGATAAAATTTATTTTTATTTATTAAAAATATATTTTAGAATATTAATATTTAATTTATAAACAACCATGATAGTTGTTTGTTTTAATATGGGAGTTGATTTAGAGTTTTATATTGGGTTGATGGTTAATGTATTTAAATTTTAGGTTTATTATATATTGTTAAACTAATGTGTGCGTTTTGCCTGCAAGAATTATAACGAAGATATCAAAGTTCAAACTTAAAATCGTTTTTATATTATTCCAACTTCTCGCTACTACATTAACCCTAGTGATTATAATTAGAGTTAATCACCTATACACTGCCAGTGTAAATTTTTTTTACACTGACAATGTATACACTACAACAAAATTTGTTATTAATGACAATTATTTAATGACAATAATTTAATTGCCGCCATATATAAAAATATTAATGGCTAATATATAATAGCCATTAAAAATGTATTTATATTACACTAAAGTTTACTATTAGCGACAATTATTTACTAGAAATAACTTAAGTCTCACATCGATTAGAGATAAGATAATTAAACAGTATATAAGTGAGTAATAACTATCGCCTTACAAGTTCATTTTATAGGATTGACTCCTAATTCACTATTCTAAATTGGTATCAAATCACCCATTGTTACCAAGTTCAATAGTGCTATAAAATAATTAGAGAGCAACTTTCATCTTATAAATCTCACACATCTCTTAAGAGACAAGACAATTAAAAAATATATAAATAAAAGATAACTCTCATCTTACAAATCCCACATCAAGTAGAGATAAAAAAGTATATAAATTATGAATTTAGAAAAGGAAATTATAGGAATAAATTATTTAAAGTAAAGGAGACAATTGAAAAAAATAACTTTTAATAGCCTTTAAAATGGCTACTAGAATTGCCACTAAAAAAATAAGTTTTTCTGACAATTTAGTAGATCTTTACCGGCATTTTATATAAATGTCGGTAATAGTATTAGCGACACTGTGTGATATCTCACTACTCAATTCTTATTTCTCATTAACTCATGTCTCAAGTTTCATCACTCGAGTCTCGATCATGTGTCGGTTTTTAATTACAAGAATAAGCCCAACCAATTCTCATCATTAACCCTCAAACATCATAAATATAAAAATTCATAGAACTCGCGCTTACTGTTGACCCTTCCATTCTTAGCGACTTAGGCACAGAGAGTAACCTTATTCTATGCGTCTCTCACACTTGGCATGAACCAGCTCATACTTAACGTCAAAACAATTGTTGTTTAGTGTTGTCATGGAGCCTTAATGAATGATTCTTTTATCTGTCTTCTCCTTTAATATTTTGAAGAAGATTCAAGAACTCATCAAAGTTCAAAAACAATTTAGAGAGTTCAAAGGTATAGGTTACTACTGCCTTATTTGGTTGTAAAATGAATAGCCTTCCCTTCTTATGAATTTCATTTTCAAATGATTCCAAACCAATGAGGGGAGCAACACTCTTTAATAGTACCACACTTATTGAGTCTACAACAACATGGCTGGGTCATTTACGTACCACAACCTTATTTGTGGGAAAATATCATTTTTCTACCCATTTGAAAGGAAGAATAGCAATAAGAAAAAACTTGGTTCGTTGAATAAATAGAAACCACAAATGAAACTTCTAGAGTTTTTTGAAGGACAGAAAAAAACATTAAAAGGGATATGGAGTGTGTAGCACTAGAATGAAATGTTTGAAGCTAGAAGATAAAGGAATGAACTATATTGCAGCACTGAAGTTTTGAAACCATTTCGGCTATTGTTATTGTCAACTTCAAACTTGTGGGCCTGGCCCATAAATAAATAAGTAACAAGCATGTCATCCCTAAATAGCAGAAGTTAGCCCATCGCTTAAGAGCAAGCCATTAACTTGGTAGTAACTATTCTGAAATCAACATGTTCCCAAAGTGAACCCAAAACTATCAATTATTCCAATCTAAACAATATGTATTGAAAAAAATCTAAGTCTCACATTAATTAGAGATAAGATGAATATGTAGTATATCAGTAAAAAATAACTCTTACCTCACAAATTAATTTTATAGAGTTGAATTAGATCCAAATTTATGTTCTAAGAATATGTGTTTGATAGTTTTCATAATTAGTTAACCCACATCAACCAAATGATCAAGTAGGCTCAACAACAAAAACACACCATACACCCACAATGTATAATAGCAAAAAACCGAAAAGAATCAAATAATCATTAACAAGAATCAAGGAAACAAAATGATCACATATCATTTTGTTATCCCAAACATAACACCTCTTTGTGTAGGAGGGAATGCAATATGTAAAAGGGATTCACCCAAAAGAAAGCATGCCCTTTTCTATGATCTATTCACCTCTAGATTCTTGCTGTTAATAACTTGAGTACTAAATCCTCTTACATGTGATTCTTCCACCATCATTGATCTTGGGAAAACGAAAAAAAGTTCATCACATTCTTGAAAATTAGCAATACATAAATTCCATTCCGTTGAGCTTGTGAAGAGCATAAGGAAAAATGAGTTAGAGGTTTGATTTTACTACTCGTATTATAGTTTTTGTATCTCCCTTAGAAAAGCAATTCAATTCACGTAGTAGAGGACTTGTGTATTCACCCCTTATTCCTTAAGTAAGAAAATTTGATTTCTCAATTCGTTGATACATAAATTTCATTAAGAGAATAAATCATGAATCTAAAAGCTCATTAAATAACTATTCGTATTCGTAAGATGTAGCAGTTGAATTGTTCAAACCAATTAGGAAGAGTGCATTCCAATTTCTAGTTGAGTTGAGAATATAATCCGAAAATGTGTTCATAAATTATAAAATTCGTGATGTCAACAAACACAGAATAAACCAATGATGAAATAAAATTCAAAGTGATATTAAGAATAAGGAAGTATAATTGCAGTTGTTCAATTCACCTTCGATAAAAAAAGAAAAAAGAAAAAGAAGAAGAAAAAAAAAAAGATAAGTAGAAAAACATAAAAAGAGAAAAGTCAGACAAGTGATTGGCTAGAATTCTTGTTCTTATAATAGAATTTGTTGAGACAAATACAATGATGTATTTTGAGCACTATTGTTACTCGAACATTATAATTAATTACTGAACTTTATTTTGAGATTTATGATACATGAGTTTGTAAATTGTGAAACTTTTGGTGAATTTCATGTTTTTAATTAATTATTCTTCGTATGTGTTAATAGTTTTTTTTTACTTTAATTTACTTATTTCGCATTTTTAATATTTTATTATGTACACATGTTTTTTATTATAGCCATCAGGCTTCTACCCTAGTATGCAATGTAATCTACAATGTTTTTGTGTTGTAGATTTTTGGCGTGTCATCATTCACCATTACTAACACCAGACAACACTAACAATTACATACAAAACTGTCTCGAGTAGAAGCAACACTATGATTTGCCCTACAAGTTTGAGTTTTTAAGTCCAAAATTGATAACAAATATATTAAATAACATTGTCATCTTCAGGTCCTTTGAGTTTAAACAATGGCCAGAATACATGGTATTTCCTAGCTAAAAATATAAAATAATATATAACAAATATGATAAAAATAAATAAATAAATAACAAGACTCATTGTCTATGTAATGAAATTCATCAAATTAAAAAAAGTTCAGTTATTAAGATAATTGTGCAGTGCTCTTCATGCTAGCAAATCATCAACCAAGATAGGGAATCACATCATTAGTCTCAAAACGCACGTTGCAAATGTACGAGTGCTTGGTTAGTAAGAGTTTTTTTGTCTCATTGCCGAGCCTGATTCCAACTCTTACGATATTACATTATTGGCATAAATTACTTTGATGAAATAAACTAGAAAAATACTCTCCGTTTCAGCGAGGATATCTTGAGTATTAACATGTAGGCACAGTTTAAATAAATTCGTCCACAAGAACTTAAAAAAATAAAATAAGTTGAAGTCAATTCATGCCCCTTAACTTACAGAGAAGTTAAATGAATCATATTTCTAAATTTATCATCAGTTAATTTTAATTTATTTTTACATCATTCGTTATTTTTTTTCCACATGTATTTATTGAAATATGTAGTCAAGACTTGGAAGGATGGGCTTCAAAACTGCGCAAACGGGAAAGCATATGAAAAACAAGAGTCATACTCATTGAAGTTAAAATCTTTTAGGCCCATTACAGCATATCATTGTCATGGATCAAATAGATGAGTCCATAGGTTCACGAGTGAGAGTGATTCCCAGGTAGCTCCTCCTAAATTACTAGACCTGGAAACACTTGAATGAGAGGCAACGAAGTGTTGCATTGATTTGCACCATTTTTCTTTTAATTTTTTGGTCTTCCTAGCACTCACGTAGTGCAAGTCTAACGATGCAATAAACCTGCCACTCTTTGTAGGTCACGTAAGTAGCCGACATGATGCCCCCACAAATACAACATATCTGCAATGCATAGTTCCAGAAACCAGTATATCTACAGGCTCACGCTACGAGACAAGCAATATTAAATGTTGCCAGCATCCCAGAGAAAACAGAGTCCTGAATACGAACTACAAGATATTCGCACTTTGATAAACATATTCTGACTGCACTAAACAGTTTTGATTCAACATTGTCAAACCAGAAGAGAAGGCAGGAGTGGTTAAAACGAGTGGAATCATACATGTCACACCATTGGCTCCAAGGCACCATGTTTTACACAAGTAACAAAGTGCAAGTTTGGTGCACTCATTCCTTCGTGACTCGCACAGCACCAAGTGGAAAGGAACCAACCCATCTAACGTGGAACCAAATAATCATCACAAAGAAGCAGCCAAGTCCATATTGTTGGAGGAATATTACACTATTTCGAAAGGCAGATCGAATATAGGCAAACACTTAACTACTCATTTCCTAAGTTTAAAGAACCGTCTTTCATCAACTTTAAGCTCAAGCTATTGAATCTCCCACGTGAGTAATGCCTAGACGCTTTTCTCCAATCCGTTCCCGTTTTCATCATAGCAACAAATTCATCATAGCTGATACGGCCATCCTGCAGGTGTTCATGAATTTTAGAGGGTAAGATTCCTCAAACAAGACTATATGTAAAGAAAAAAACTTTCAAATATTCACCTTGTCCGTGTCTACTTCTTGGAAGATGTCATTTGCCACATCTGTACAGTCATCTGCTCCGTCTTCCATCAAGGCATTCCGTAGTTCGTCCGGTTCAATATACCCATTCCCATCTTTGTCAAAATAGGAGAAGGCCTTGCGAAGATGCTCGTCATTAGCCATTCTCTTTAAATGAAGGGAAACAGCAACAAATTCTCCGTAGTCTAGTGTTCCCTTACCATTATTATCTACCTGTTGTCAACATACAATGATTCAAAAACAAAACTCACAATTTCATGCTAAAATATTTGTGTTACTACCATTCAAGCAATGGTCTAAAAATAACAGGAAAACAGGGCGGCATATGAAAGGAAAAGAAAAATCAACAATATGAGGATAAAAAATGCCAACGATTTTATAATGTAACTGAACAAGCCAAATAAAAATGATAAATAAAAAATATATTAGTGTTGTACCCCATGCATTTCAATTCATATTTGCATGTTGGTAAACAGAGATGAAATGTTAGCCAATTTATAATGCAGCATGAAATGCTGCAAGTAGCAATTTTTGAGTTTAGCCGCAATAATTTAGAGGAACAAGGGAAAGTTAGCCATACTCACAGCTTCAATAAACAACTGAATTTCAGACTCAGCAAGCTGAGACCCAAAGTTTCGAAATCCAGCTTTTAGTTCTTCAATGGAAACAATGCCATCATTATCATTATCCATTTTCTTGAACATATCTTTGATGTCTTCAACTTCTTCATTGGATAAGAAATCAGCAATGACCTGTTTTCAAATGAACAATCTAAGCTCTGACATACAGCAAAAGCACTAGCTTAAGATATCACCAGCGATGCAGTGAACTAACCCTAAGGGCTTTTCTTTTGAATCTATTCATCATTGAAAATTGCTTAAGCCTTGATTTGACAACATCTCCAAGCGGAACATTGGGAGCCTTCTTAGCATTTTGAAGCCACGGGTGCTCTGCAAGGCAAGAAAAACAAGATGAACCTCATGATGTGTTCAGATAAGTCAAGTGACATAATTACACGTAATTTATGTTGAAATTATGGGGTTTAAAATATAAAGGGAGGAAGAGAGATAAAAGAGAATATAACATTGAATTGATAATGATGATATAGGTGTTAAGAAAGCCAGATATGTCATGATGGTAGAACAAACCAATGAAGGAAAAGACCAGAATAAAGAACACAGCCGACAATTGACTGAAAGACACAACAGCTGAACTGTCTGAAACACATCAGTAAAATGCACAACAAAGACTAAGACAGAGAAGGAGGCAGTAGTAATGAAAAACACAGTCTGATGAGGGCTGAGCTTGATGGAAGGAACAACATAGTGAAATGCCAAAACATGCCAGAGGTTTGACACTGTAGGACAGATGATTAATTTGAAGGAAGAATCATGAAATTAAAGTAGAGCTCCAAATTTTTGGGACCTCGGCAGTGGAGTGGTGTGACACATACCACTCTAATACCATGTTTAAATTATGGGAATTTAGGTATAGAGTAAGAGAGATGAAAGAAAATAAACAGAGTTAATATTAACTGATGTATTACATTGTGATAGGATGTTCATAAAATATCCATAAAACTCGAACATTAACCGTTACTCTATACCTAATCACAATCCTAGCTAACTAGAGAAACAAATAATGATGAAAAAATATGATAACTAATCCTAAGAGATGATAAGGAAATGAGAAAACTAATCCTAAAGGATCATTTAACATATTCTAAGATATGATAAAATATTTTCATATATTCTAAGAACTACTTGTTAGAATTATATGTCCATACATAATCCTATCTCCATCAAAAACAGATCAACTTCATTTCACTTTAAATTTTAAATTCAAGAAATCAAAGTTACAAAGGAAAGAGAGCTTTAGGGATTTAAAATATAAAATACAGAGAAATTTGTCATAAATTAAGCCCCCCAAGTAAAGAAGATTGTTTGATTATCTGAAACTTAAAATCCAAAAGGAGAAAGTTTTCAGCATTTTCTTACTCGCTTTATCTTTAGAAGATGTAAAACAAATGACACTAAATCATATAAGTGCTGAAACTTTCGGCATTTAATTAAGATTTATAAATGCCACTTGGAGTAATATGAAATGAACATGGAAAGAAGGAAACGAACGTACCAAGCACTTGTTTGGCAGTTAATCGAAGCTTAGGGTCTGGTTCTAACATTTGCCTAACAAGGCTTTTAGCACCTTCAGAAATACTGGGCCAAGGTTCCCGTTTGAAATCTATAAGCCCTCGAAGAATGGCCTGTGCAACTCCTTGCTCAGATTCTGCACAGAATTAACATCAACGTAAAAAACAGACTTCTTATAAGCTGATGAAATAATAAAAAGACCCAAGCTCTAAAGCACAAAACTCATGTATACATGAACCAAATGAAAAGACAACTTTGCACATTAAAACATTGTCTGAAAGCTTTAGTATGTGTAAGCCTCAAACCAAAAGAATACAAGCATTAGGACAGAAAACGGGGGAACACATGAATGTTCATAGATGCCAATGCATTTGTAAAAGAAGGCATGCATAAAGAGCATTGCAGGAATATAATGATTTATGAATGCAATTACCAGCCCAAAAAGGGGGAACGCCACACAATAAGATGTAAAGAATTACTCCTGCACTCCATATATCTATTTCTGGTCCATAATTCCGCTTTAGCACCTCTGGAGCCATATAATATGGACTTCCAACAATTTCTGAGAATCTCTCACCTGGAAATTTTTATATTTCCCACAACACAATGGAAAATAAGTCAGACACAATATGCAATGAAAATATAAAGTTGAAACATGAGTAGACAGCAATAACATGTACCACCGGACAGCAAACCATCAACAAGGCATGGTATATGCTCAACCTTAAAATTAATGTCTATACTCTAGTGGTGGGGATAAGCAGACAAGCTGTGTTTCCCAAGAAAGTGAGCCAACATTAATGGCCATTCAGTTTTTTTTATGTTTATGTTCCAATAAATATGTGCCCATCATGATAACAAAAATGCCACCTCGGTTTTATTTTGTTTCCTGTTTTCAAAATCATTAAAACAATTGTTCTCTTAGGTTCATTTTATTTTTCTTTCAAAATTGTTTGTAACAACTTTGAAACAATTTTATAAAACAAAATGTGTTTGATATATATATATATATATAGAAGAGGGATCCGTTTACTCCAGGAGTACGTCTACCTAGACTTAGTCCATTCAATAATTCATGTTCTACATCAAATTTCAACGATCCAACGTTGAATTTAAAATTTTTAATGTATAAATCAAATCTACAAATTTGAAAATTATTTGATACTTTGTTTCATTAATTCAAATCAATGTATAAAATAATTTTATGATTATACGTCAATTTGAATTAATAAAATAAAGTATCAAATAATTTTCAAGTTTTCTAAAAATTTACAGATTTCATCTACACATTAATTCAAATCAATGTATAAAATAATTTTATGATCATACGTCAATTTGAATTAATAAAATAAAGTATCAAATAATTTTCAAATTTTTTAAAAATTTTCAAATTTGATCTATACATTAAGAACTTTAAATTTAACGATTGAATCGTTAAAATTTGATGTAGAACATGAGTTATTGAACGAAATAAGTCTAGGTAGACTTACTCCTGAAATAAACGGATCCCTCCTCATATATATATATATATATATATACATTTTCAAGGAAGGGATATGGCTACTTTAAAGAAAGGACTGTGTACTTCAAAGGATAAAACAGAGATATAACTGTTTTCTGGAAAATCAACAGTCAGATAATTTAATACCTATGTATTTTACCACAATTTTGTGATTTTGTGATTAACCATCCAGCCGTTATTAAACAACATTTTACCCTATAAAGTGTATCATTCACTTTAAAGAAGCTAAATCCTTCCAAAAATTAGCTCAGAAACTAGCCCTAAAAACCTATTTATTTTCTTAGAAATTAGCATTATTTTAATGCAAAATTTCATAGAAAATTTAAGAAATCACAAGACATAACCACAAATTAGAAACATTTCCAGTGAAGCCAAAAGTTAATCACACTTCTTTTGGGAAATGTGAAAATGAGGAGAGGACAACCGTCACTTCTTCTTTGTCGATGGATCTACTAGAGTGAGAAAATGAAGCAGCTTTAAACAAATTCATATTTTTGAATTCCTGCACCAATCACCATTACCATAAAGCTCTAAAAGGTACCCTGCTAAATTGTGGCACCATAATGTTCGCACAAATCCATGAGGTAAGCTTTGGGAAAAGGGTCTGCTGTTTGGGAAAAGAAAAAAGAGGGGGGAGGGGGAGCATGAAAAAAGTATGGACCTCTTATTATTGGAAAAGAATTTTCTTGTAGCCATGAAATAGGAAAAATTGGAAGAGACAGGTTGTTTTCATTGTGAATCTGCAATTAATGAAATACTTTATTTACACAATTGTCACTGCCAATTTCCAGTATTTCTGGAAGAAAGGTATGAAAGCGTTTTCTTCCTTCTGATTTTTAGATTGAAGCTTCGAGAATAATGTTAAGAACTGATAGTAAAACTACCAATCATCCAAATAAATTATCTTTTACTTACTAAGATTTTTTTTTTAAGAACTGAAACCAAACAACCCAATACTTTGTTCTTTTAGCATTTCAATCTCAAGAAATTGAAAATGAGAATCAGAAGTAAATTAAGTTGTTATTATTGTAATTATCACATAGTAAAAAAAAAAGAAACCAAACACCCCTTAGTAAGTAGTAACTGAACCCCACAACATGACCCAGTACTTTGTTACCAATTGTGGTAGCAGCATCCATAAATGTCCGAACAAAATAGACAAATATGCCAAATTGATTTTTCATTACATGCCTTTCTTCAATTAATAACTGTAAAGAATTATAGGTTTATGGTGAGGGAAGAAGAGAAAGCAAGGGACAAAAGGATAACTATAATAACACTGAATATTATTGATGGATTATAATGTTTTACACTAAAACAATGACCTAATACTCTATTTATATGACTTAATTAGGTCAAGCACCTGTCCAGCTAGCATAAGCTTAAGCACTTTCCGCAAGCTACTTCTCACTAAGCATTAAGCTTGATAGTTGATACAAGTAACAACCCATAAACTAAAAACAAAGAACTGCAGCCCATCTTCACAACAAAAATAGGAAACCGGTAACCCCCTTCCCCTTCCACAAATCCCACCAAATCACAAATCATGGCAGTGTCATTAACAGGAAAGCTCCTAGCTTCTCCTCCATGGTACACATCCCAAGCAAATGAGATAGTTGAATTAAAATCATATAAAGAAAGAACAACCAAACATGGCATAAAGAGCTAGAACAGTAGTTCATCAACCAAATATAGCAAACCCAAGCCAAATCTAGGCAGAACAAATTGCCGACCAAACATTGCTAGATATGGTTGCTCTTGTCACTTTTGATGCAGCAGCCAAACTTGGCACCACTGGCCATCCAAATGCAGTCAGCAATGACAAGTTTCCTCCTCAAAGACTGGTTGATACAACACCCTAATAAGACCTAAATATTCCAAGAAAGAAAAGCAATATCTGAAGCAGAAAACAAGAAGAAAAATTGACATTGAAATTAATATATAGCCAAAAACTTGACAGAGCTCCGGTCATCATAGCCCCAGCACTTACACCAGTCCTAGTCACAGCCCCACCATGGCAGCTCCAGCCACCCATCATACCACAAAACAAGTCCAAATGTATACTCACTCCAGAATCCAGATATATACACAGGTTTTGGGATATTGCCACTGCCGCAACAATAGATACCAGAAGTCATCCAGTCAACAGAAAATCAACCATCCTATACAGGGTAGGCTACGATCTTACCCAGAGGTCACTGAGAGAACCATCAATTATCAATGAATCTAGAAACACCACAAGCAGATGCCAATCACCCAAGCTCTAGTGATAGCATGTCGTGACCCACCCTTGTCAATTGTTGCAGCAGAAGAGAGTCACACGAAGTAACTCTAGATTCGACCAACAGCCTCTTCAAGAATAGATTCTGAGTTAGAAACAGGCGAGAACGAACAACCAAGTTTGATGAACTCAACACGAGAAAGAAGACCTCCTTATAGTGGATCATACAGCTCTAATACCATGCTAATTGAAAAGAAAAGAGAGTGGTAACTAATAACACCGAGTATTATCGATAAGACGTAACGTGCCACCCTAATAAAGTAACTTAATGCTCCCATACGCTACTAATTAGGAAAGTACCATGTTAATGCAAATGTAGTTATTGCTGATCCAAGTAGCAATAAATTCCACACTTGATGCCACATTTGGAAACTGGGATTAGTGGGAAGGGAAAATAAAAGGATTGACACAAAATCAAACACAAGCAGACACTAAATCAAGGCAGCCAATAAGTTGGGAAGCTGAGATCTCACGAAGGGTAGACAGTGGAAAACCTAACCGTAGCAAACCGAAGCATACTAAAGCGGACAGGAAGAGAGTGAGGGAGTACCTGGCTTGAAGAAAATGGAGAGGCCAAAATCAATGGCCTTGAGCGGCGAGTTCTCCTTCTTGTTGGCGAAGAGGAAGTTCTCGGGCTTGAGGTCGCGGTGGATGACGCCGTGCTTGTGGCAGAGCTGGACGACCTCGACGATGGTGCGCGTGACGGCGGCGGCGGCGCGCTCGGTGTAGTGGCCGCGGGCGACGATCCGGTCGAAGAGCTCGCCGCCCTCGCAGAGCTCCATGACGAGGTGGACGGCATTGTCGTCCTCGCAGGCCTCGCGGAGCGAGACGATGCTGGGGCTGTCCGGCAGGTGGCGCATGATGGCGACCTCGCGGCGGACGTCCTCGACGTCGACGGCGGTCCGCAGCTTCCGCTTGGAGATGCTCTTGCAGGCCAGCAGCTCCCGCGTGTCCCTGTCGATGCAGAGGTAGGTCACCCCGAACTCCCCCCGGCCGAGCTCCCGGTCCACCAGGTACCTGTCCTCGATGTTCTCCTTGGCCACGCCCGCCAGCACCGTCATGGGCGCCTTCTGCTTGGCCGCCGGCGGCTTCCCGTGGTCGGCGTTGGAGAAGGTGGATTTGACGTCCTCCCGCGCCACCGCGGCCGGAGATCTGCAGCAGTTTCCCATCGGATCGAGGAGGCTTGGCTAGCTTCGCACTCTCTTCTAGGGTTTCACGTCATAATGCTGCTGAAACCCTAGCTCTCTTCTCACACTCTCCGATTCAACCACTCTCACTCTCTCTCTCTCTCTCTCTCTCTCTCTGCGCCTCTTCGCCTCTACGCTTACGGCTGCCGATGCGCTTTTTTAGGAGCCACGCCACCACCACACTCTACTCCCCCTTTCTTCATTTATATTTTCAACCGTCTTTCACTTCCCTTTTTTTTTACTTTTCTTTTTCCACTCATGCAATTAATTACCAAAATTATGGATTTTCATCAACTTAATTCTTTCATTAATCATTAATCATTATTACTATACCTTAACGGTTACATCGCATTACAATCCAATCCACTTTCATACTTCAACCCCCACTTTTCACAATTTTCTATGTCCAATTCTTGCCACGTCATTTCTATAAATATATATATATATATATTTTACACTCTAGTACTAATCGCAATTACTTAACTAATAACTACAATCATATTTTATATTAAATGAAGTATTTTAATTAAATGAATTTCTGTTATAAACTATGACATACTTTTTTTTTATATACTGAAACTATGAAATACATGTTTTAACTTAGATATCAATAATTTTGAAGCGGAAAAAGTAGATATTACTTGTCAGTAATATTTTAAAAAATAAATTAAAAGATATGAATTATCCAACCCACAATATCTCAGTATCTCTGCATACTGCCATTGTATTTACGTATGCTAAATTTTGTCTTTTATCTTACAAGGTATCTGAAAGTCATTTTTAACTGTATGGTAAATTATGATCAACCAACTATGCTATCTTGAAATATCATATGATAATTTGGAGACTTATTTCCCCATTTGTTTGTTATTTATCACAAGATATAGTGAAAAGTTATGCTTTACTTTTTCTTTTTTTTTTCATTAATCATATTATGCGTATTTTTTTAACTTATTACTACATCAATCTATCATATTCAGAACATGTTTAAAATTTATTTTGAATTTAAATTAATGTAAATTTTTTAAAAACAAGCATATGTAATTTCTGCATCAATTATGAGTAGACATAGATCACAAAATCATATCCAAGCATACTATCAATTTGTCCATTTAATTCTTTGAGAACTTGGTCTACCTGGTGTTATGTACTATACATAGTTTACAAATAAATAGTTAGTGGTGAAGAAGAAATATTGTTATAGGACAAAATCAATAATTGAGATTATAGTTTAGCAAATAAAAAATGTTTGATGCAGTTAATTAAAAAAATTCCTTCCAATTAGCAGCAGACAGTTTGTTGACTATTGAGAATGTGACTATACAAACAACATTCTAGCATTTTAAAAATAGGGTTTTTTTTTTTACTTTAATGGGCATGTGCACACGTCCCTAAAATAAAGATGGTTTACTGTCCTAAGTACCGGAAGCATCTCTTAAAAATAATTACAAAGTGAAACATACATGTCTGTATTTATGAGAAAAATAAAACAAAGTAAATGAACATTGGAAATCTCACCTGGGTCCAATTGAGACTAGGTAGGCATCCTAAATCTTAAAAAATATTCTATTTTACCAATTTTATACCCTACCAATTATGCAACTTTTTAGAATTACATTAAATTTTATGTTCATTTGAAGTTAATTACATGCTTAGGGAATATTAATTTCTCAAAAATAAGTTTCAAAGTGACAAAAAAATAAACAATTCTTTTCTTCAAAAAATAACACACATATTATTTAATCTTTTGTTTAAATATATTTTTATCTCTCAAATTTAAGATAAATTTATTTTTAGTTCTTTAATCTTAAAATTGTTGTTTTTAATATTTGTAATTTTAAAAAAATTTATTTTAATTTTTATATTCAAATTTTGTTATGAAATTTATCAAATATTATTGCATAAAATTTACATATTAGTGTCCTATTAATAAAAATGTCATATTAAATCCGGTTGATATTACATAATCATCGTAATTAATTATTTTTATATATGTTATTGGTAACCTGAGAGACTAAAAACACTTTGAAACCTACTTTTTTTAATTAAAAAAAATCAAATATGCATTAAATATATGTCATTCTTGTGTAACATAAAAAGGGATATCTGAGAAAATTGAGTCCAGAATTGTAATCGAGTAAAAGTTGAAGGCATCAAGATTAAGTTGAGTGCAAAATCCAAGAACAAAAAAAAAAAGAGAGAAAAAAGAGTGCAAAAATAAAATATAAATAAGAAGAGAAGATGCCATGTGCTGTCTCTTTAATTTACAAACACATGAAACCAAAGGGGACCTTCTTGTCTGTCTTCTTTCTGTGTTTGTTTCTGTCAAAGAGCAAGTGAGTGGGTCTCATGGGGCATCTCTACCAACCAGCTTTTCCCATTCTATTTCTGAAGTTGCTTGCAGTTGTTGTTGTGCTTCTTTTAGAAGCTGCACATACTTGTTGCTAACCCTTAGATCACACCCTGAAGAAAAATAAAGGCTATTACCAAATTATGAGTCACTTGAACCTTTTTGTGACCAAAGCTTTATTATATTATTGGGTCCATTAATTGGGGAACAAGAGTTATTATGTCCTGTTTTCTATTGATTATCTTCTCATTGGAAGCAGAGAACAAAGACAGATATCGCCAAAGAACTAAATAATAGACGACAAACTTAGACACAAGAAGGCCACATAGACAAATCTTATTCAGATTTGATTCTCTATTCAATTTAAGTACTCAAACAAAACAAACTTATGGTTTAATCAATGTCATCACATGAATGGAATGAAAAATAGATATTAAGAAATTAGTGATTGCCAATAGAGTATAAAACTAGTCATCATGCAAGGGAATTTTGGTGCATTTGTGAGCTTAATTTGTAGAACCTTGGCATTTCAAGCTTGACATTTCTTATATAGAACCTTGTCATTTCAAGCTTGACATTTTCATATGTACAACTTTCCATTTGAGTGTTGTTGTCTCTATAAACAGATAAGACAATGAGTGTAGTACACAAATTTTGAATTAGTAAAGAAGGGAAAATGAGTAAGAGAGGTCAGAAAAACATGTACAAGGAGCAACAAACTTTTTAGCAACATTGGAGCTTTTGATTCAAATTTTTAATTTGCCATGGTTTTCTTTGTTGCTGACTAGTTTATATTAGCACCCTTTTAGCCAAACCAAATCATTAGATATTTCTCACATGCTTTGTTAGGCTATTCATCAATTTGCTGATCATCTTGCTAAATTTGGGGACATCCATGATTCTTCTTTGTGCAACGTGACCGAATACTCTAGTGGAAATAGGTTAATTTTCTTCTTCTCCTAGCTAATAAGCTTGATGTTTATTTCTTGATAGAGTAGTATCTCCTTTGCTTATCTTGTAAACCAAAAACCAAATTGTTGATCCACGGTTACCTAATTTCAGAGTAATTATGAATACAATCTAGAATAACTTTTTCTCATTTTACATTAAAAAAAATTTCAAATCCATCCATTCAAATGAAGGAACACGTGTTTAACCCAAAAAAAATAAATAAATTAACTATTTCAAGAAGAATTTATGCTGACCATATTACATATTGCTTACCAATAGGTTGTTTTAGTAAGGTTCTATTTAAAAGAGCTTATAATTTTTTTTTATTTACCTTATTATATAAATATTTATGAGAATGTTTAGATAAATTTATAAAATATCTTATAAGTAGTCCAAAAAATATTTTAAATTTATTTTGATAAGTTGTACGGTATAATTTATTACATAATTTATGAAAGAATTTATTGAAAAATATTCAAATCCAAATCCTAACAACAACGTAAACAGTTCTTATTGTTATTCTTTTTTTTTTGAAGCATATTGTTATTCTTTTTATTCTTTCACTAAAAATTAGTTATATAGTTTTTCATTATTCGTTTCAAATGTTTTCATTTCTCCTCCAAAAAATTTTGCACCTCTTTCTTTTTTCTCTTTTACAATTTTTTTATCTATTCTTCCCAAAATCTACATTCCCTAATTATGAAAAAATCTCATAATATATTTTCTCCTAAAATAAAACACCTAGAATAATTTTGTTGTTAATATTTATACAATAATTTTTTAATCAATTTTATAAAATATATAGAATTAATTTTTAAATTTTTAAATTTATGTTTGTTAATATTTAATCATGATTATTTATAAGACCGGATTATCTTGCTAACCATTTAATTATAAGTGACCTTAATTTAAGCATAAACTCAATTCACTTTTTGAGAAGTAGGACCCTACTCAAAAAGAAATATCTTATATTTTATTAATAATTTTATTTTTTATAAGCTAAAATTAGATGAATAGTGTGACTAGTATTTTTTTTTATTTTTAATATTATTGTGATGTATAATGTCTTTTTTAAAAATTATTTAGTTATTTTCATTTTTTTTATTTTATTTCCCGTTAAAAGTTAGTTTGTAATTTTTTAATTTTTAAAATGAAATAATATCTTATAAGCATTTAAATAATAATACATTTAAATAGTTTAAAATTGTACAAGTGCTTGTTAACATGTATATTCAAAGGCAACAACTTATTGGATATTAAACACTTACCACATAAGAGATTTTTAAATAAATTATTTATCCAAACAACCCTAAATATTTTATACATTAAAAAAATTAAAATATTTTTATAATATCATTTAATGATAAATTATTATGACAGAAAGTAATTTGCATTAATAATTCAACACTTGATGCTCTCAAATTTGATTTCATATGTAATAAAATAATATTTGATTAGTAGAAGTTTAGAATTTAGGATTTAAAGTTTAGGGTAGAAGTCATATCTTAAAGGTACACATTAATATTTATTATAAGTTTTGGAATATTGCGTGGATCACATCCATAAAAAAATCCAACATTTAAATTATTTGGTCAATAATTGAGATTTGACTAATAATTTTATACTTATCATAATTTTGATAATTTTGATATTGATTGAAAATTTTTACGTTAACAATAGTATATAGAAATTAAATCTTTTGAATCAAATCTAAATTCTAAGTTTGTAAGAGTAAAATAAGTTTAATTAATCTTTTGTCATTGTATTATTAATATAAAATTAATATTTATTAACTTTGTAAATGATTAATATTTTATTAAAAAAAAACCCTTTACCGGTCACTTTTATATATTCAAACTATTTTAACATGTCTTGATGTTGTCTGGGATCTATTTTGATGCAGTTTTGTTC